CTTGTAAGGTCAGAACACACAAGTACTGACTACAGGGGATACGAGCCAGTGCTGAGAAATGCCCCACTGACTACAAAAGCTGACTTCTGCTATTAAATACACCTTTTCAGCTGCACTTTGAATCAAGACATTTTCTTTCTGTTCTGACAGGCATAATCTCGGAACAAAAAGAGGAACCTTAACTAAATTTTTTTATGAAGATAATCATTACCCACTTGTATTTCTGTTGTTACATCAGTGCTTGCAAGGGAGTGAGCAAGGCTGGGGAGCACTGATTTTTGTGAATGTTTTATTATCCAACCTTCCTTTCTTTGCTTTGACCTATTTTCTATTTCTTCTGGTGCTGGCAAACGAGAAGGACACCTCTATTTGACACTAAGAGGAATATATTTTGTTTCCCCAAATGTTGCCTGTCATCAGCTAACCTTGCCCTGCTGCAGCAATTCCGGATTGCCCCTGCAATAAGGATTGTCTCTCAAAAAAATTAGATACCACCAAAAAAGGGCAAATAAGTAAGCAAAAAATATAAGTAAGTCCAAAATATATGCTAAGCTAATAAATGGTGTAGCACATTAGTACAGTAGAGAGGTTTGTAATCATCCATAAATCTATTGCCAAAACATAGCTATATATTGACAAGTGTAAGTACCCTCTAGTGTATTACTTAATATGTGGCTTTATTTTGATATAGCAGTACAGATCCCTGCATTCTAAGCAACAGGAAAACTTTGAAATGAAAAATATTTGTAAAACACTTAAAAATATGGGGTGAATACTGCTGTGTTTTGTGTATGTAAAAGATTTTTCATAAGAAAGTACTCAGTAGTTGTAATTGGTAGATGCAAAATAGTCTGTTGCTTATTATTCTAGATTAACTCTATTTTTAAAATCCCATCTAATCTCACTTTGCTCATTCTCTGTCAAGGAAATAGGCTTTCAGGTGAGCTGCATAAAAGCTAATTCTGTAAAATTTCTTGTTTTAGGAAGAGGCCTAAAGAGTAATGTCTTTTAGGGTGTGATTGTAATTCCTGGTTATTTCCATGCATTTTTCCTGTCCTACCTCTTGGCATGGCCACAGCTCTGGGTACCTGCTTGCCCCTTTGTCATCCTTGATCTGACCATGCTAATGGTTATGAGCTGTTGTAATTATTTTGAGAATTTAGCAGATTATTTTCTTGTAAGAAAGAGGAAAAACTGCAGAAGGCAACTTCCCAAGAGCTGCATATCAGAACCAAGTTTGACCTTGTTTGTGAGTCCTGCTTGGAATTTCTATTTAATACTTCTCACTTGTCTATCCTGGCTGCAAGGAAAACCCAAATGTGAGTATGTAATGGCTCGGGGGAGGACTGAGAGGGGACCCCATCCATGTGTGTCAGGGGCTGCAGGGAGGGGGCAGAGGATGGCCCAGGCTCTGCTCGGGGGGCCCAGCAATGGCACAAGAGGAACGGGCAGGAACTGATGCCCAGGAAGCTCCAGCTGGACATGAGGAAGAACTTCTTTGCTGTGCAGTGACCCAGCCCTGAACAGATTGCCCAGAGAGGGTGTGGAGTCTCCTGCTCTGGGGATATTCCAGAGCTGTCTGGACACAATCCCTGTGCCCTGTGCTCTGGGATGGCCCTGCTGGAGCAGGGAGGTGGCACCAGTGACCCACTGTGGTCCCTTCCCACCTTCCCTTGCCTGTGATTCTGGGATTCTGTCAGAAACCCCATGCCAGTGAGGGTCCAGAAATTCCTTCAGCTCTGAAAGGGCACCATTATGTAGTCTTAAAACAATATTTACATAACGTTTAAATAAATATTTTCTAAAATAACCTATTCTTTCCCACCACCATCTCCACCACATAAACCCATACTTGAATTCATTTTTTTCTTTTAATGAAGCATTTGCAGCACATTTCAAGTAAAAACTCTTTTGTAGAGATGTTGTCAGACCCTTCAATAAATTCTGGAAACCTGAACAAAAGTGATTTTGACATTTGAAAGGTGAAGAGCCTCCTGTATTGGAGATCTCAGACAAAATGTTCAGAGCTAATCTTCTGCTTCTTTTTCTTTGCCTTTCCTTCACAACTACCTTCTTATGAAGGGAGGACCGTGTGGCTGGAACATAGTTCCATCTCAGGTGTGTTTGTTGATGGATATAAAACCAGCATGGGAAACTGCTCAAACTTGCTGAGGCTCATATGGTGTCCCTACAGCCATCCCCCCTTTCGGGATCTGTTTGGGATTTCAGCCACAAAGTGGTGCTGTTGCAAAAGCTAAACATTATGACACACACTCCCTGCTTTTAGAATGGCCCAAGGCATGCATTAAACCCAATAAAATGTTCATCTATTTGCATACCTACATGCGTATCTTCCCTATAAATATTCAGTTTTTCATCATCAAACGCAATCACAGTAGTATCTGTTAATGCACAGAGAAAAATACATGTCTTCAAAGTGTAGAAAATATCACATGTTTTGAAGTCTGGTCAAGTGCCTAATTAATCAGATCAATGTCTAGTAATTATCCCAATTAAAACCACCAGAATTCAAAGATGACTTTCCACAGCATGCTCTGGGCAATATTCCAGATTCTTCAAGGCAGAACAGAGACCTGTTCAAAGTATTTCTTTTCTTTTGTTTGTTTGGTTTGTTTTGCCATGTCAGAACCTCAGACCCAAGGGCAACAGATAAAATAAGGTGACCATTTGGGAGCTTGATTGCTTCTCATAAAAAACTCAGAAACATTTTTAAAGCATAAAAGAAATCCATTTCTGCTAAGGGTTAGCATTAGGAAAAAACCACCCCACCCCCAGAACAACAGATGAAGATGTGAAAATGCGTAGAGAGAAGCAGCTTCAGAACAAGAGGAGCATCTGTAGGAGAAAGGTTGGAAAACCTGAAGGACCAAACATGTCTCCATTTTCTCTAGCTGTGAAAACACGCTGCCTACAACTCTTTTTTGCAGTGCACACATATTTGGCGAGATTCAGGTGTCCCGTCTCGAATTACTCGGGGCTCTGATTGCCCCCAGACCCAGACCCAGGGCAAAACCGCTGCACTTGTGCCCTGATGGGTTTGCCTCCCACCAATGGTGGGCAGCCCCTCTGCTCAGGACATTTGCTTTCTAGACTTCTCCTTTTTCTTCTTCTTTCTTTCTTTTTCTTTTTTTTTTGCTTTTTTTTCTTTACTCTGCTTGCTGCAAATGCGAAGTTCCCGGGCTGGGGCTGCCTTCACACGCTTAACCCTTTGCCTGCCTCCAGAGGGACGTTCCCCAGCCACGGGAAAGTTCTTCTACTCCCAGCACTGTTTGTCTGCTTCAGGAGATTAAAAGCTGAGTCACATTTTAGGCATTTCTCAGATCTGACTGCAGTACTGGGGCTGGGTGGGGGATGCACAGAATTTAGTTCTAGTTTCCCTCCTCTTAGCTGAAAAAGCTCCAAATAGGTTGGAAACAGCATTTAGGCACAGGGTGAAGACAACACCCACCGATCCTAGAGTTATTCAAGGTTTGAGTGGTTTTTTGATTGGCAGAACAGCAAGTTTTAAGTAGAGAATTCTTAGGAGGCAATGGTGGAAGAGGAGTCTTTCCTTCCCTGCACTCAAAGGGAACAAGTGATTCAGACAGAATTTATGAGACAGATACAAACTGTGAAGTCCCCTAAAGAGTATAATTTTATGGCTGGAAAAAATCAGGTAAAGGGTAACAACAACCAACACCACCCATGTTTCAATCCATGGTGGAAAACATTTCGACAAAACAACTCTCTAGGTAGGCTGAAATGTCTTAAAGAAGATGGTACAATGCTTTGGCAGCATGAGAGGGCTAATCATCTTTACACAGGGAGGGGAAAGAGGAAAAATTCTTTAGTTAAATAGCAAAAGAAAAAAAAACTTCATGAGCTAGTGTTCTTTAAGGAAACAATCTGGCCACCCTTAAGATTTGAAGTGTTGTATTGCATCTTATATGACCACGTTCTTTTGGTTATGGCTTGCTCAATTATGTTTGAATCAAACAGAAGATGACTTAAGCATGTAAATTTAGAGGGAGACTTTGAGGCACGCAGCTAAATTTATCAGCCCATCTCTGTGAGCGATCACTCTAAATAAAAAGTTTGAAAAACCAGTCGCTGCTGGTTGCTGATGAACTTTCCATGTTTTTGGCACTCTCCATCCTCTACTTAATGGACTAATCTGCAAGTCAAAACAGGAGGAATGGACACAAATCCATCCTAAGGTCTGTCCTTAGCAGCGGATATTTCTTGCAACACTTATTTTGGTGTCATGGTGGGTGACTCCATTGGCAGAAATGCTGAGCAAAGAGATAAATTTGCCTAAGATTCACAAATGACAGAAGGGAAAAAAAAAAAAGAAAATAAAAAGAGGATCCAGAGCGAGCGAGCTTATGGCATTCTAGTTGTGTGTCTCGGTTTCACCTGTTTTACATGTCCTGTAATGACTTCTGATTAGGGGTAAGATCAGCAACACATGCTGGCAGTTTGAGCAAAACGTGTGCATGTGGGAGACAGAGGGAGGGTGGGGGAGAGGGGGGCGGGGGGAGTGTGTGGACCATTAGAGTGCAAACACAGAGACGTTCCTGCAATAAAATGCTCGTCTTCTGAGAGTCGCAGTCTGGAGGAGATGGTTATGATTTAACAAAAGAATTCTCTAAAATGTTCCCTGGTGCTAATACTGTTCTTAATAAGGAGAAAAGATTTTGCCAGGAAGAGGAGTGAGACCATCAATTGGATTTAAAAACAAAAAGAAAAAGAAGAAAATAGGTACAAGATTTTTTTTTTTTTTTTTAGGGCACGAAGGGGGAAAAATGACCCTTAAGAAGGTTTTGTCATTTTCCAAAAAATGCCTCATTCTCTGAATTTCCCCAGCCAGGCAAGGGCATTATAAATGGTAGGTGGAGAAAGCAGAGTGTGGCAATAAAGGGGTTAATCCACGGAGCACAGAGCCATCTGGCTGAGCTGGTTTGTTATAATCGAGCAGATTATGTTCACGGGACTCAGAGTTTAAGGCTCCTCTCCCATAGAGCAACTCCGCACAAGCCAAGCAGACCAACTTTGGGACTTTGAATGAACGTATTTACATCCACCTTTCTCTTCATGTCGACTTTTCTGGAAACATTCACACGGATGCCATGGTTACTCCTACCACGGTAAGGGAAATTTGACGTTTTCTAATGGGGTCCTAAGAGGGCGGGGAGGGGAGGGGTGGGGGGGAGAGGGGTCCTTTAAAGAAGTGTAATGGGGAGGAGGTGGGGGTCTTGTAAGGAGCAGATCTGTCCCAAACGTTGCCTTTCCCATTGTGCCTCCTCCTTTCCCCCACTCCAACTTGCCCTACAGTTTGCTTTAGTCCTGAGGTTCCCCTCTCCTGCTGCTCCTCCTTGCTCGGGTGCCTGGCAAGAAAACAGCACAGGAGAAATAAGAGGTGCTAAAGGAGTCCGATTCAGGAGGCAAAAGCAAAGGAGCCTCTTCTTTCTTTTTTTTTTTTTTTTTTAAGAGGGAAATGAGCATGTTCAGATGTAACAAAAGCGGGTTGAAAGTCTTGACCGTGGATTTGCCAGAACCAGCCTCAGCGTACGTAGCGCGCTCGCCCTCCGGCAAACTTAAAGCCCGTGACAAGCAAAGTCAAAATTCCCAATTTCTAGACCTCGCCTGTCTCAGGCAACCAGCCTCACTGGAGCTTTCTTTTTTGTGTGTGTGTGCGTGCCAGACGCTGGAAACCCTGCTCGTGACCTCTGAATCAATCCTCCTTCTCCCCAGACCCAAACACGAAATTCTCTGCGAGGAACCGGAGATCAAAAGGCTCCCTTGCACATCTGGGTCTAGGTGGAAAAGAAACACTCACTCTGGGCTAGGATGGCAGGGAAGCTATTCCTACTCTGCAGGTTCCAGTGCCTGGCAAGTTCCTTCTAGGAATGCAGAGCACAACTAATCAACATAGATGCACATACAGAGAGCAAAATAGAAAGCTGTTTCTCATCTAAACAGCTGAAATGCAGCTTAGAGCGTCAGTTACTGGCGAGTCCTTATGGAGACACCAAACTGCTCTTAGCCAAGAGGGGAAAAAGTCCTTGAATGGTTCAGATAGTTTTCTGATCGGTTCTTAATCCTTCATTAAAATAAACGGGAAAGCTCTGTGCTGGTCCTATCTCCTGAACTATAAATATGCAGTATCTGGAGAGATGGATATTTTGGGTTGAATAGGGCTGCTATGTGCACATTCTCTGGTTCCTATATTGCAAAACCAGTTATTTAGAGATGACTCTGTGTGTGTGTGGGGGGGTTGCTTCTCCCCCCTCCCCCCTTTTTAAATAGACAGGGATGTGTGTTATATGGTCCAGACAATTGTTATGAGCTACAACCTTTCATAAAGCACTCTTTGCTCTCAGGCTCTTGTGATTTGTTGCATGAGGAGTGCAAATGGTATGTAAAGTTTTGCCTTTACGTTGTGCCTTCAGGAAAATATCCAGACAAATAGGAGAGACGTTCTGAGGCACAGAAATACCTGATCTGTGCAAGCCTGCCAGTGGAGGAGTGGTGGAAGAAACACCTAAAAATGGGATGTAAGAAAAAGGGAAATCTAATAGTAATCTAAAAAAAGAAACAAAAAAAACCCCAACAGGCAAAAATAAAGCCTTGCTTTGTGTCAAGGCAGACAAAAGCAGCAGAGAATGGAAGGGAGTTCAGCGTGGTTCCAGCTGCTAGTAGTAAAAAGACTGGTCTTAGATACACGTGTCAGTACCAGGAGCTCTGTGTGTGAGCATGGTGGGGGGAGGAAAACTAGCCATGATTGCAGGTGGTGGACCAAAAACATGGGGAGAAGAAGATGGACCAGCAGAGCCAGGAGGGGAGTGCTCTGTGGAGAAGGGGTGCTGTATGTTGAGGCATGCAAGACACATAGGTTTAGGAGGTTTTGTTTGGGTTGTTTGGCTTTTTCTTTTTTTTTTTTTTCTTGTTCTCAGGGAAAGGAAAATGAAATTGTATATATAAAGATATACAAAAGGAGCCTGAAGGGAAAGTGTTTTACACCAGGAATGAAGTGCAATGTATTGTTGTGCATTGGGGTGATAAGGGCAGGTGAGCCGTGCAAAGGTGGTCAGCTTAAAAGGGAAACTGCTGCAAGTCAATTGGAAAAAGAGGATCTCTGTGGGTGGAAAAAAGTTTAGAAGCTCGGAAGGGGAAGTAACACTTGAGAGAGATGGCAAAAGGTACACACTGGAGGCTGGCTGAGGATATGAAAGGGACAAACAAGGGTGCCCTGGTCTGCAAGGGGGAGGTTGGGCATGGAGTGGGAGTGGAGGGAGAAAGGTGAAAGCACAGGGCACAAAGGATGTTTGGAGGAGGAATTAAAATGTGAACCATTGGCTATTTGGAGAGAGGTATGGAAAATAATCGGCTACATGATGCTCGTGGGGGGCGTCAAAAGGAGGCACCTCTGACTCTGTCAAGAAATAGATACGAGGCTGTGTTTACAAGGAAGGTGTTATGAAAGGGGAGGCTTGCATGGTGGTGGAAACATGTGCTGAGAACAGGAATGCAGGGGGAAAAAATGAGCTGGGTGGAGATAGGGTGTGGTGAGGGGAAAAGGGGATAGGGTCTCATAAGTATGAGAGGGGGGAGCTGATTATAGAAATTTCAGAGGAGGTTGGGAGCCTGCTGGAGTGTTCAGACTGAATACAAGGGAGAGATGGAACTGGAGAAAAAGCCATGGAAAGGTGCTGTGAGGAAATTCAAGATAGTGGAAATCATGGGGGCAGGGTGAACTGGGACAAGAACATAAAGACGTGGCCGGTGCTGAGAAGAGTAAGAATGGGGGAAAAGTAAGGAATGTAGGAGGCATGAATGAGGATGAAATGAAGAGCTGGGCTTTCTGCAAAGATGCCTCAGCAGGAGGTGGTTTAGAGGAGATACAGTGCAAGGGAGCAGAGGGTGAGAGGTAATTTAGGATTGTGTTGCTTACTAGAGAAAGAGAGGAAATAATGCAAAGGTGCAGTAGTGCTTTGGTCATCAGAACAGAGGATGGCTCCTGACTGGGCAGGTGGGGTAACACTGGCAATATGTTACAGGGAAATCATCTAAGGCAAAAAATGGTGAGTAAGGAATAAGGTGGAGACTGTGGGAAGAGGAGAACACATACACACACACCAAAAAAAAAAAAAAAAAGAGCAATTTTCTGTTACAACAGACGTAGCAAATGTGTTTATATCTCTGTGGTAGGTACTGACTGAGTGAAACAACAAGGGGGAACGGAACAAATGTGCTGGTGGAGAAATGACTAAAGATATCAAGGGGTGGGAGGAGAAGGAATGGGAGGGAAAAACTACCTGGAGGGCCGTATAAGCCACATGGCTGTGCTAAGGTCAGAAGTGAAGTGTGAAGTGTGTGGGGAGGAGAGTGGAGCTGGGAGCTGCAGGGCACGAAGTGGAAGTGAGCGGGAGTGACAGTTCGTGTTCCGAGGGGTGAGGAGCTCGGCGTGGGTCGGCACACGGTGGTGTGTGAGGGAGGGAGGTACCTGTCAGCCCTGCTCGCCAGCGAAGGGAAGGGGAAAGGAGAGAGAAGCTGTGCCTGATGGGAGAGGTTTGTGCACACAGCGTGCTCTGAGTAAATGGGGGAAGCACAGGTGAGGACTGCAGACCTGGGTGTGGGGCCTGGGAGAAGGAAAACCGCTTATGGGGGAGGGAAGAGTGATGAGGAGTGAGAAAAAGTTTATGACGGTTTAAGCCATCTGTAGTTATCTGCCTCTTAGTTTAAGGCAGGCTGAGCGTGCAAGGGGCCCTACGTGCATGCAGAGCAGAATGAGAGCAGACTGGGAGTTAAATTCAAGGGTAGAGCAAGCGAGAGGCACAGGTAAATCCACAGAGTTGTTGGTGATGAGGTATGGATGTGGAGGATGCTGGTTCTGTGTGAGAGTCAGGGACTGGTGGAGCTGCAGAGGGGTGCACGAGATGAGAACAACCCAGGAAGAAGCTGAAACACTTTGGGGGCACATAAGAGCCCTGGAGTGCTCTGCAAGGGCCGAATGGCCGTGTGGAAGCTCCAAACACCCCCCAGGAGGCCGTGCTGGGGTGTGAGGTGGCTCCCAGGGGCTGGCTGGAGGATGACGTGTCCACTGCGCTGGTGGCACGACGCTCCGTGTCGAAATCGGTTATGCAAAGGCACAGCACAGAGGTGAGTTTCGTGAGTGCTAAGAAAGCAATGTTTGCATTTAGAAGGAGGGTAGGGAAGGATGACTAACAGAGAAAATGGTTTGGTGCGTGGGTAGCACCCAACGCGTGCTAGAGGTGCTCGCCTTCTGCTTGACTTGCACAGTAAGCAGAGGCTCCTCCAGAGATTTAGAGGTTTTTTGGCAGGTTTTTTTTTTGTGAAAAACTGCTGAATAATCCTGAGGAAATCCTAGCATGTCTAACTAGCAACCAGCTTCATTTTGAAGCATCCCAGGGTAGCTTACTTTCGTGCGTTAAAACTTCAGATGCTGCTGGCACGAAATGGCAGGGGGATTTCTCTGGGGCAAGTTAACAGCACTGCTAGGTAGTTAATCAGGGCTCTTGGATGAACAACAATTGGGCTGAAGTGCACATGAGGACTACAGATGTCAGTCAAAGGAAACAGGAAAGGACCAGTTTTATCCATGGCTTGAAGCAGCCAAGCTGGTTGAAGGTTGGAAACATAGGATACGTCTTGGGTGTGAGAGAGAAGCACTAAGAACTTCTTTCCCTTCAAAACAAATGCATCTGTTCTTCAAATGTGTCCTGCAAATATCTTCAAATTGTCCAGCTTACCTAAGGCTTCAGTGTCTTCTTAAGCACTGCCCTGCACTGGGTAGGAAAGTGCTCATTTCCATCCATAGCTGGTCACAGGATTGTGAGTGATCCTGGGAGACTTGCACTGGAAGAAGTCAGACTGATCACAAAGAACCTCTAAGCTTAAAAGTTGAAGCTGCTGAGCCCAGACCTTGCATACCATCAGTCACATGGATCATGGTTCATGGATCCCTTTCCTGTTTATTCCAAGGATCAATTCCTGCGAAAAACGATAAGCAGCCTGTAAAATAATAGACAATTAGTGTTTGTGTGGCCATGGGTTGTGTGGGGAACCCATTGTCCTAGATTTTTCACACTGATTTCCCACTGTGGAGTCCAGCTCAAGCTCTCCA